TTCGCGCGGTTGCAGAGCCGCGCAGCGGCGCTATCTGTCACCGGCTGTGTAACTCAGACACGGCCGATGACAGATCTGAGTACCGACCCCCGTTGCCGGTACCATGTGACCTGCTGTGACCAATCACAGCAGGTCACATGACAGTTGTATACAATGGATGGCTTCATTCATGCCATCCATTGTATACTAGTGTCTAGCTGTGAATGGTCACAGCAGGTCACATGCACATGTCATGTGATTAGCTGTGGCCAAATCACAGCTAAGCACAAAAAAAAAAAAAATGAATCGATGTCATTCAGGTAAATGCTTGCTTATAGCAAAGTAATTCTTTGCTATAAGCAAATTGTGTAAAAAAAAAAAAAAACATACTGATCACTTCCCCAAAGTAGTACAATGTTACTATGGTAACATTGTACTACTTTGGTCATAGTAAAATATGAAAAAAAAAAATCTTAAAAAAAGTAAAAAAAAAAAAATGTAATAAAAAATTAATTAAAAAAGAAAACAAAAATATATATATTTTTTTTTTTTCATACTGTCACCAGTCAGTGTCCCTGTTCACCCTCATGCCAGTTATATGAAGACACTGTACTGCACTGGTGACCGTATGTAAAAAAAAAAAATTGTGAAAATAATTTTTTTAATTTTTTTAATTTTCCGAAAAATTATGACAAAAAAAATACAACTTCAAAAAACTCGCCATGCCTCTTATGAAGTACGTCGGACTGTCTACTCTGCAAAAAGGGGTCATTTGGGGGATATCTGTACTGTCCTGACATTTGGGGGATATCTGTACTGTCCTGACATTTGGGGGATATCTGTCCTGTTCTGACATTTGGGGGATATCTGTACTGTTCTGACATTTGGGGGATATCTGTACTGTCCTGACATTTGGGGGATATCTGTACAATTCTGACATTTGGGGGATATCTGTACTGTTCTGACATTTGGGGGATATCTGTACTGTTCTGACATTTGGGGGATATCTGTCCTGTTCTGACATTTGGGGGATATCTGTACAATTCTGACATTTGGGGGATATCTGTACTGTTCTGACATTTGGGGGATATCTGTACTGTCCTGACATTTGGGGGATATCTGTACTATTCTGACATTCTTGGACCTCAAGAAATTAGATTGGCTGTCAGTACTTCAGGATTGATCAATATTCAGATCTATACCATAGTTTGTGAACTCTATAACTTTCCTACAAACTAAATAATACATCCTAATTTGGGTTATTTTCACCAAAGACATGTAGCAGAATACATCTCGGCCTAAATTTATGAAGAACAATTATTTATTTGCAAACTTTTATAACAGAAACAAAGAAAAACGTGTTTTTTTTTTCAAAATTTTTGGTCTTTTTTTGTTAATTTAGCAAAAAATAAAGACCCCAGCGGTGATTAAATACCACCAAAAGAAAGCTCTAGTTGTGTGAAGAAAATGATAAAAATTTTAGTTTGGGTACAAGGTTGCATGACCGCGCAATTGTCATTCAAAGTGTGAGAGCGCTGAAACGTGAAAAATAGCCTGGGCAGGAAGGTGTAAAATTGCCCGGTATGGAAATGGTTAAATATGTTCAGTAAAATATTAAAAAAATTGAATTTCTTCATAAATTTAGGCCAAAATGTATTCTGCTCAATGTCTTTGCAAAAAAAAAATCCCAATGCGTGAAAATTAATTGGTTTACGTGAAAGTTATAGCATCTACAAATGGCGGTATATATACTGGAATGTTTATTTACTTACTAGTAATGGCGGCAATCAGCAACTTATAGCGGGACTGCGGCGAGCTTTCTGACACTGGGTGGGAACTGACTTGGTGTCACTGACATCCCCAGTGACACCAATACAATGATCCGTGCTAATAAAAAGCACTGACACTGTACTAATGGCACTGGGTAGGAAGAGGTTAACATCTGGGGCGATCAAAGCGTTAACTGTGTGTTGTTTTTGTGCTGTATGTGTTTTACTAGAGAAACATGCTGCTTTGTACCTCTCTGCTGTGCAGAGAAGTACACAGCAGCATGTGCTTGCTATGTGCGCTGTGTGCTGTACTGTAAGCACACTGCTTTGTATGTCTCTGCTATGCAGAGGCATACAAAGTAGTGTGCGGGAGCTGACATGAGAGATCTGTGTTGTTTATACACAGGTCTCTCCCCCGTCGGAGATACTCGGCGATCACCGGGTACAGGGTTTGCACCAAGTGTGGAGGTGCACTGAAGCCGGAGTGTCCATACAGACATTCTACCCTCAATGCAACTGTGCTTCCTTCCCGGCACTGCAACTGTCAGCCAGCACAGCAGGGAGGAGTTTTGTACCTGCGTGGGCAGCGCCTGATGGGGATTTACAGACACTAGTTCCCCATCAGGTCCACTCCCCTTATGATCGGCAGTGGGCAGATCTTTAGCCAATTGAGAGAGCCTGCTATTGGCTATAGAGTCTGCCTGCTGTCAGTTACAAGGCCTGATGGGAAACTGATGTGTCAGCTTCCCCTTCATGCTCTGCCCAAAGCAGCATCGCTGGTTGTAAGGAGGCTGTAGGCTGTGAAGCAGATGGTGTACTTAACAACCAGTGACAGGGAGGGTAGCAGTGGTAAATATGCTACACTGTGTACAGGGACAGGCATGCTTCCTGTCTCTGTACAGCAAGTTATTGGAGGCCTTTATTACCTCCGCAGACAATGTCCATCGGCAATGTCCGTTTATTGGTGTGAGAAGGACGGGAGCGTTGCCGATGCGGGGGGGCGTTTCTAAATGTCCCCCTGCATCCATTGCCTGTGTGCACTCGGCGCAATCTGTGCCCACTGTGTCCACAACGGAACACAGATCAATATACAGGACCACTGTGTGAGGTCCCAATTCTTGTAATTGGCCAATTACACTGTTCAACAAATATTTATTTTTTGCCAGTTTTGGAAACAAAAGGATCCATTTCTTAATGAATTTCACATTCTGAGTTCAAATATAACAATGAAATTTGTCAATTGGCTCTAGTTTTTCTGTAAACGGAAAGTTTTCTACTATAGGCGTAATGACTACATAATGCACAATAATTATATAGATAGATGTCTTTCCACAAATATAAAGCAAGTGATATTGACTACATAACAAAGCCTAAATGGCATAATATATTGCATAGGATTACCAAGAAAAATTATAGCCATAAGCTAAGTTGAATCATTTTAATACTCAGGATTCTCACTAGTTTTGTCTTCAGTTTGTGTCGGTTTTCTTCTCTTGGCTTTTCTCTTGTATTCGAGGAAAGGGCTCTCTCTTACAACTGCACGTGACTACACGCTTCAGGTTCTTCCTCACTTGACTCAACCACGAAGGATTCTGGTGCTTTAGGAATTGGTAGCCCCTCTCCATGAGGAACTGGACGTATTGCCGATGGAATATTTGGATAGTGCACAGATAACTTTTTCTTCTTATTTAGCCCTTTTACAATTGGAGGCACCATACAAAAGTAACAATTACTAACATGATCTGTTGGCTCTCTCCAAATCATTGGCACAGCGAAAGGCATAGATGCCTTTTTTCCATTCAACCATTGCTCCAGTGCCGTCCCACAAGAATTGCAGCATATATGTGGTGCCCAGCTCTTGTCCTGGTCTCCTATCTTGCAGCCAAAATACAAGTTGTAGGCTTTCTTAATCATTCCTGTTATCCTCCTTTTTTGTGAGATAAAAGTTATTTCACCGCAGATATAGCAGAAATTATCTGCTTTATTCACACAAGTTCGAGGCATTACTGAGTAGCCTATATAAGCATAAAACGAAATGTAAAGACGCTGTGGAACTACAATCAGCTACAGATACTGCAGCTTTTATGCAGTGAAGTGATGCAATTAAAGGCTAATATTGCATCATCTCAGTATACATGCAATTTTCTATTGGTCACCAGTATCAATTGCGCAATATGCAGCTGAAGTTGCATCATAATTTTGAATGGCTTACGTCATTAGATGGGTAAAATATATCATGGAAACTAGAGCCAATCAACATTTTTTAGGGTCATTTTCATTTTCAGCACCCCAAAATTATGTAAGATTAGCTAATTTTATGCCCAAAACTTTTACCTGTTGAACAGTGTTAGTGATCACATGAACAGTAGTAAACAAGATGTCACTTCCTGACATCATTGCTTACCTCTAGTGAATTCTGTGAATGATCACAGAGATCACATGGTACAAGGCTATGGACAACAGCCTTGTACCATGTGACAAGCTGTGACCAATCACAGATCACTCAGTATTTCTCAATGGCTGCAGGCATGCAGTCAGAGAGAAGGAGAAATAATTGCTTTTACAGCCTTTATGGGTGTAAAAGCAATCCGTGTAAAAAAAAATCTTCTATTACCCCCTACAAGTTGTAAAGTGTCACTATGGTGACACTGCACTGCTAGGGTGACAGTATGTAAAAAAAAATAACCCAAAACAATAATATTAAAAAAAAAAAGGAAACAAATTTAAAAAAAATTATATATTTTGTTTTATATAAACTGAAATGTGGGTTATTTTTTTTTTTTTAAACAGCTGAGTACATTTCGGCCAAGATTTCTGAAGAAAAATTATTTATTTGCAAACTTTTATAAGAAAGACACTTTTTTTTCAAAATTGTTGGTCTTTTTTCATTTGTATAGCAAAAAAAATTTAAATCCCAGTGATGATTAAATACCACGAAAAGAAAGTTTTATCTGTCTAAAAAAAAAAAAAATGCAAAAAATTAGTTTGGGTGCAGGCATGACCGCACAATTTTCATTCAAAGTGTGACAGCACTGAAAGCTGAAAACTGGCCTGAGCAGGAAGGGGGTGAAAGTGTCCAGACTGGAAGTGGTTAATTGGATTGTCCTATTGCATGACGTAGATAACACTCCAATGTTGTTCACATTGTATTAGCGTCAGACAGTGGTTACACACAATGTCATTATCTGAAGATTTATTATGTTTATATAATATATATATATATATAATATTTGTTGTTCTTTGTCTGCACAGGCAGCAGCCTCCGCCGCAAGCTGAACTGGATGTTGTAAGCAGCAGAGATAATCTGGGCTCATACAATCACACACAGGTGAGCCATTCTACGTATCGCCAATCCTACTGACAGCCTGATTGCAATATATATATATATATATTATATATATATATATTGAAGTATGTATGTTTGTTTCATTGATGGGATTTAATCTTCACTGACAAGGAAGAATAAATACCTACAAAGCAGCTCCAGGAAACCCTTACCTGCTCTGTGCTGTGGTTTTGCACAGAGCAACCCTGGTTCTCCTCTTCTTGGATGTCAGTGACACCAAATCCGTTCCCCCCTCAGTGTCAGAATGCCCGCGCAGTCCCGCTATAAGTCGCCGATCGCCGCCATTACTAGTATAAAAAAAAATATATATATATCCCAGTATATATACCGCCATCAGGGGCGGACTGACCATTTGGAAACTCAGGCACTGCCCGGGGTCAGTAGGGGGCCCCATGAGATGCCCCTGGTACCTTTTTCTTAGGCTTTTTTGAGTTTGGGCAAGGACACAGGGGCCCCTTGATCCCCTATTGCCCGGGGGCCCCATGAGTTGTCAGTCCGCCCCTGACCGCCATTTGTAAATTATATAACTTTCACATACACCAATTAATTTACACGTATTGAGATTTTTTTTTTAGCAAAGATGTCACAGAATACATTTTGCCCTAAATTTATGACGAAATTAGATTTTTTTGTATTTATTGTTTGGACATGTTTAATAGCAAAAAGTAAAAAATATATATATTTTTTTTTTTCTCAAAATTGTCGGTCTTTTTTTGCTCAAAAAATAAAAACCGCACAGGCGATCAAATACCACAGAAAGAAAGCTGTATTCATGGGAAAAAAAGGACGTAAATTTATTTGTGTGCAGCGTTGCATGTGGCACCTCACCCCCTCGGTCTCCGCCCGAATCACACACCTACTAAGCGACATATCAGATTGGATGTCGCTCCACTTCCTTAAACTGAACCTCTCCAAAACCGAGTTTCTTGTCTTCCCCCCAGCCCGGACCCCACCCCCCATTGACTTCTCCATCACATCCAACAACGCCACCATCAAACCGGCCCGCAGGCCAGAGTACTTGGTGTCATTCTGGACTCCAACCTATCCTTCCAGCCCCAAGTCCAATCTTTAACAAACTCGTGCAGACTCCACCTCCGCAACATCGCCAAAATCCGCACGTTCCTAACCCCAGAAACCACTAAACAGCTCATCCACTCCCTCATCATATCACGACTCGACTACTGCAACTCCCTCCTCACTGGCCTGCCTCGCCGCTGGCTATCCCCGCTTCAGTCCATCCTGAATATGGCTGCCAGACTCATTCACCTTTCCAACCGCTCCATCTCCGCCACCCCCCTCTGCCAATCCCTCCACTGGTTTCCGATTGCGGAACGGATCAAATTCAAAATCCTAACGCTGACGTACAAAGCTGTCCACCATACTGCCCCGAACTACATCACTGACCTAATATCCAAGTACCACCCAGCACGCACACTCCGCTCCTCACAAGACCTCCTTCTCTCTAGTTCCCTGGTCTCCTCCTCCCATGCCCGCCTCCAGGACTTCTCCAGGGTGTCACCCATCCTTTGGAACTCCCTGCCCCAACCCATCAGATTATCACCTACTCTCCTCTCCCTTTAGGCGCACCCTGAAAACCCACCTCTTCAGGGAAGCCTACCCCACCCCCTGCTAACCTGCCGACCTCCTCCACTCTTCCTACCACCCCATCCCCCACAGCTATCTCCTCCTGTGCCACCACCCCCTCCCTCCTAGATTGTAAGCTCCAAAGAGCAGGGCCCTCAATCCTCTCATGTTTTGCATTGTATTGTTATTGTTCTGTCACATGTTCTGTCCCCCTTTGTAATGTACAGCGCTGAGCGAACTATTGGCGCTTTATAAATACTGTATAATAATAATAATAATGGCGAATGTCCTTCATCCAAGACATGAGACAGACTCTGTCTGACTTGCTGCAGCTTCTATGTGTTTGCGACTTTGAACCTCCTGTTTAAATCGTCTTTTTTCATTTTCTCAAACAGGCCCCAGTGCAGCCAATAGCGACAGCAGTTTCTGATCACAGCAAAAGCCTGGAGAAATCCGATTCTCTCTACTGCCAGGAGAGAGATCCCAGGTTTGCTGAAATCTACAGTGGCATCAACTCAGGTGGGTCACAGAGCAGCGTGGCAGTATGTGTTCTTTGTATTATTTATGTACATACATTTTATGGAAGTGCTCAATTTACCATCATCCCCAGTAATAGAGACCAAAAAATGAAACCAGTTAAAGGCAGACATTCTCCGCACAAACGCCTTTCCCAGCGGCAACCGTTTGCGCAGCACTTTACAAAATGGTAAAAATATTTCTTTTTTGGGTGGTAAAGGGTCATTTCTGCCACTGGAGTCTCTGAGAATTGTCAGGGAGTGATTCAGCCTGTAAGGTTTTATGCAGAACTGAAAAACTTGGTTTTATTTGGCTGCGTTTGTAAAACCTGCGATCTTTCCCATTACAGACCAGAACAAAGCACTTAACCCCAGTGGGGTCCCTGGCAACCAGCAGCTTTTCCCGCAAGCCAGCACTTTCACCCCGGCCCCCCGTCCCGTGGATAACTTCAGGTAAGTCCTGCCTGCTGTCAGATGCCCACGATGCAATGTATGTTGTGACCAAATGGAAGAGTTATGATGGTGAACATAGATCCTGGATGAGGACAGATGGGTATTTGGTGCGCTCGGTAGAGGCTGGGGTGGGTATTACAACAATAATATATAGTCAGAGCAGGGGCGGACTGACCATTCAAATACTCGGGCACTGCCCGAGGGCCCGGGGTCAGAAGGGGGCCCCATGAAATGCCCCTGGTACCTTTTTTTTATAGGCTTTTTTGGGTGTGGGCAAGGACACAGGGGCCCCATGATCCCCTATTGCCCAGGGGCCACATGAGCTGTCAGTCCGCCCCTGAGTCAGTGTATAAACAAAACCAACGAAGGGAAAGTCCATGTGACCCAAATGTCAGTCTACTACCGTGTGATTCCAAGAGTGTTTGCATCAGCGGCTGGCAGCTTCAGAAGAGCTAGAAGGGAGAAAACACATGGAGAAAAAAGTGCGCCATCTATGTGCAGCATTCATTACACATGCTTCCAACACGTGGCACCTCCCTGTATGCTAAAAATTGTTTATAGTGTTACTAAACCCACCACAGTACAATCAGTCTGCATATGCAGTAAAGCGTGCTTGTTATACTCACTGTGGAACCTAAGGGGTTAATCCTCTGCATTGTGTAAAAAGGTTGTTTGATCCTGACTTCTCTGATCCTCCCCTTCCAGTGTCTCCCTCTTATCTCCTGATAAGACCTATCGTGTGGTGTCACTCTGCACATGCTCAGTTTGGTGTGTGTTTTTTTTTTCTTGGGAGAGTGCATGTGATCAGTATAGGGACAAACAACACTGTCCAGACACAGTGTCAGGGTTCTGCATCCTTCTAGAGCAAAATGATAACTCCTCTTACAAGCTTTAACTAGTGCTCTGCTGGACACTGATAGAAGGCATGAGACTGCTATATACTGCTGATGAGAAAAGGTATTTAGCAGTTTATATTTGCTAAAATAATTGCATTTCCATGTTCTGTGTACTGTGGGAGAGCAGATATAGTGAATGCAGGGTCCGGGGAGAGCAGATATTGTGAATGCAGGGTCCGGGGAGAGCGGATATAGTGAATGCAGGGTCCGGGGAGACCAGATATAGTGAATGCAGGGTCCGGGGAGAGCAGATATAGTGATTGCAGGGTCCGGGGAGACTGGATATAGCGAATGCGGGGTCCGGGGAGACCGGATGTAGCGAATGCGGGGTCCGGGGAGAGCGGATGTAGCGAACGCGGGGTCCGGGGGAGAGCGGATGTAGCAAACGCGGGGTCCGGGGAGAGCGGATGTAGCGAATGCGGGGTCCGGGGAGAGCGGATGTAGCAAACGCGGGGTCCGGGGAGAGCGGATGTAGCGAACGCGGGGTCCGGGGGAGAGCGGATGTAGCAAACGCGGGGGTCCGGGGAGAGCGGATGTAGCGAATGCGGGGTCCGGGGAGAGCGGATGTAGCAAACGCGGGGTCCGGGGAGAGCGGATGTAGCGAATGCGGGGTCCGGGGAGAGCGGATGTAGCAAACGCGGGGTCCGGGGGAGAGCGGATGTAGGGAATGCGGGGTCCGGGAGAGCGGATGTAGGGAATGCGGGTCCGGGGAGAGCGGATGTAGGGAATGCGGGGTCCGGGGTTTAGTAACACCTTAATGAATGCTGCACCTAGTTGAAGCTGCTTCTTTTTCCATGTGTTAAATGGATCCTGGAACTGGGTGGAAAAGGGGTAAAAACAAACAAATAATCAGCATAAGGGGGTAAACGCATGGAGTTTTATGGGGCACATCCTAATCTATAAATTTAGAGCATTGAGTATTTTGTTTGCCATTTTGGTCTCTCGGTCACTTTTACCTTTGTTAGTATTTTTCTTCATTAGCTGTGATATAAATGAACAAAATGTAATTAAAAAATGTTCAGAAATGACATTTCCATTCTGGTTTCCGCAGTCTGGTTGTTGGTTTATGGGTCGGTGTCCATAGATGTGTATTATGTCCCTTGTCATTGTAGGAATAGTGGAATGGTCTCTCCAGCCAACATAATCCAGCAGCCTGTTTCTGCCGGTCAGATCCTGGCTCAGATATCGCGGCACACAAGCCCAACGCAAGTCACCGGCACCAACTGGAGCTCAGCCGCAAGGCCATCCTTCACCTCCCAGGTATGGAAAGCCCCCACATGTATTTGGTACTGCTCTCTAGACATGCCAGTCTGTTCATTCTTCTGATCAGGTCTGTCAGGTCGGTGACCTCCCCATTCCGTGCCGCAGTTAAGTAATACAGCTTGGTCAGCGACCTGACTCCTTCCTGCTAATGTTTTAGCAATTGCCCTTTTTTTTTTGTGAAAATGTTTTCCCAGCTTTTTTTTCTCCATTATGCCACAACGACAGCAGCAAAATGGTTAGCACTTCCGCCTGGCAGTACTCGGGTCGTTGGTTCGAATCCCAACCACGGCACCACCTGCTTGGAGTTTGCATGTTCTCCCTGTGCCTGCGTGAGTTTCCTCTGAGTACTCCGGTTTCCTCCCACACTCCAAAGACATGCTGGTAGGTTAATTGGATCCTGTCTAAATTGTCCCTAGTATGTGTATGTATGAATGGGAGTTAGAGACCTTAGATTATACGCCCCTTGAGGGTTAGAGACCTTAGATTATACGCCCCTTGAGGGTTAGGGACCTTAGATTGTACACCCCTTGAGGGTTAGGGACCTTAGATTGTACACCCCTTGACGGTTAGGGACCTTAGATTGTACGCTCGTTGCAGGGGTCAGGAATAAGTAGTGTAGAGATCAGTCCTATGTAACACACATTGCAGGGGTCAGGAGTAAGTAATGCAGAAGTAACATTACATGTATGGAGCAGCCTCACAATCTTCAGTCTACAGCAGAGACGTGTGAGCCATGCCTCCTGTTCAGGAATCACCATGGATGGGGCAGTCACTGTATACAGCGACTGAGCAGCACAGTGGCTAAATGGTTAGCACTTCCGCCTGGCAGTACTCGGGTTCTTGGTTCGAATCCCAACCACGGCACCACCTGCCTGGAGTTTGCATGTTCTCCCTGTGCCTGCGTGGTTTTCCTCCGGGTACTCTGGTTTCCTCCCACGTTCCAAAGACATGCTGGTAGGTGAATTGGATCCTGTCTAAATTGTCCCTAGTATGTGTATGTATGAATGTGAGTTAGGGACCTTAGATTGTACGCCCCTTGAGGGTTAGGGACCTTAGATTGTATGCCCCTTGAGGGTTAGGGACCTTAGATTGTACACCCCTTGAGGGTTAGGGACCTTAGATTGTACGCCCCTTGAGGGTTAGGGACCTTAGATTGTACGCCCCTTGAGGGTTAGGGACCTTAGATTTGTATGCCCCTTGAGGGTTAGGGACCTTAGATTGTACATCCCTTGAGGGTTAGGGACCTTAGATTGTACGCCCCTTGAGGGTTAGGGACTGATGTGAATGCACAATATATGTATGTACAGCGCTGCTTAAAAAAATTGATGATGCTATATAAGTACTAGTAGTAGTAGTAACAAAGAACAAAAACAAAAGCGCACTCACCTTGCACATTACCTCAGTGAGTAAAGGGTGAATTTATTAAATTGAGACGTATACTCACAAAAGTAGCAATATTAAAAGCATATAAAATCCAACATCAGCGCACTGGGATAGCAGACATGTGCGGGTCCCATCGAGAGGGGAGACTCTCAGGATGAAGCTGATGCGTTTCGATGGAAGAGTAGTTCTTCCTCAGAGCTCTTTGTTACAGCTGTTATTGGGCTTCCCCAGCCTTGTGTTAGAGCTGCACAGCCTATGATCTGCCACCGGATGAACTTTATATATGGTGCAACCCGCTGAATTCTGATCTGGGGCTCTGAGCACAGGAGGTTTTGTTTCTGTTTCCAGTAGTAGTACCAGCAGCAGCAGTAGTATTAGAAGTACCAGCAGCAGCAGTAGTAGTAGTACCAGCAGCAGCAGCAGTATTAGTAGTAGAAGTAGTAGTAGAAGAACCAGCAGCAGTAGTAGTACCAGCAGTAGTATTAGTAGAAGTACCAGCAGCAGTTGTAGTACCAGTAGTCGTAGTAGTATTACTAGTAGAAGTACAAGCAGTAGTAGTAGTATTAGAAGTACCAGCAGCAGTATTAGAAGTACCAGCAGCAGCAGTAGTAGTACCAGTAGTAGTAGTAGTACCAGCAGCAGTAGTATTAGTAGTAGTACCAGTAGTAGTAGTAGAAGTACCAGCAGCAGTTGTAGTAGTATGAGTACCAGCAGTAGTAGTAGTATTAGAAGTACCAGCAGTAGTAGTACCAGTAGTAGTATTAGTAGTAGTAGTAGCAGTACCAGCAATAGTAGTAGTAGTATTAGAAGTACCAACAGCAGTAGTAGTACCAGTAGTATTAGTAGAAGTACCACCAGTAGTAGTATTAGTAGTAGTACCAGTAGTAGCATTAGTAGTAAAGTACCACCAGTAGTAGTATTAGTAGTAGTACCAGTAGTAGCATTAGTAGTAGAAGTACCACCAGTAGTAGTATTAGTAGCAGTACCAGTAGTAGCATTAGTAGTAATAGTACCAGTTTTTAGACGCTCCATCTGTAGTAAAACATATTCAACTGAGATGAATTCATGTAACCGCACTACAACAGAGTGCCTAGACGTAGTTCCAGATCTGTTTAATGCTGCTTTGGTTCTCTTCTGAGTCCCCCAATCCTTCGTGTGCACTCCTGGAATCTTTAGATTCAGAATTCTAGTGACTTGCCCCATGCAGGATCCTCAGGGACCTATAGAGAGGCTCCCAATTTGGATTAATAGATGGTAGGTGATTTGTGAGTCCTTCAAACAACAAAGTTTGTATCCCCATGCTATTGGTACTCCCAAGGTAAATTGAAGAGGCATTCAGCAAAACAAGTAATGAGAGGGGAAGCAGGACCGCTACTCACATACACTTAATGACAGGTTCACTTTAAATGCAGATCTGTGTTGGCTTTACTCCATCAGGTTCTCCATTTAAAAATGTACTGTGTTCTGTTGGCCTTTTCGTGTTGTGAAAAAAATTTGCAAAGTGAACTGCGGTTTCCCATAGGAGTGCATTGAGAACCAATTAATCTGTTCTGGGGGTCAGAAAAAAGTAAAAAAAGTATTTTATCTGTTCAATAAACTTTATAAAGTGCACTTTAAAGGCATAAATACTTTACAGGGACATGATTAAAACTGTATTTGTAAATGCGTTGAAAACCAATTAATCCGTTCCTATTGCGAAAAAAAAATTCATAAATGCATTGAAAACCAATGAATCCGTTTCGGAGGTCAGAGAAAAGTAAAAAAATAGTCTTATCTGTTCAAAACTCTTTATAAAGTGCACTTTAAAGGCATAAATACTGTACAGGGACATGATTAAATTAATTTGTAAATGCGTTGAAAACCAATTAATAAAATCGTATTGCGAAAAAAACATTTGTTAATGCATTGAAAACCAATTAATCCGCTCCGGAGGTCAGAAAAAAAAAGTCTCATCTGTTCAAAACGCTTTATAAAGTGCACTTTAAAGACATAAAGACTGTACAGGGACATGATTTAAAAAAATTTTTTGTAAATGCATTGAAAACCAATTAATCCGTTTGTGTTGCAAAAACAATTCGTAAACCGAGGCATTTATTTTCAATGGATTTTCATTCGTAAATCGAAAATTACGTTAACCGAGGCGTTCGTAGGCCGAGGTACACCTGTGTGTGTATATATGTATGTATGTATGTATAGATATATATATATATATATATATATGTATGTATGTATGTGTATGTAAATATATATATATATATATATATCAGATATAGATTGTGTCCTTTTTATGAATGGGACCATCAATTTGGATTATTTAATAATTTTCAATCAAATTCCCTCGTTTCTTCCCCAGCTTCCGTTATCAATTTCTGTCTTTGGCCAAGGTGGTGTTGACCCGATATGATAGCAGACAGAATATTGAGAGATCATTGTGCTCTTCTCTCTACAGACTAGAAAGACCCAATCTCCTCCATTCGGTATGGGCAACTTCCAGACAACACCCACCAACTTCAGCCCGTTGTCCTCCCAGAGTTCCACATCCTCTCCAGCCGGAGCTGCCTATCCTAACCTAGCCAACAGGACCAACAGCTTTGGTAAGGCCATGGCTCTGTCGGACCATCCTATCATGCATCCCATATCCCTCTGCAGTTGACTTCAGTTCTCTACCGCACTCTCCAAAGACGGTGCACACTGGGGAGAAATTGTTGCATAACAGTCGATCTTCCACCACAGTCCGTGTATGGCAAAGCAATAACATCCACAGACTGGTGACTGTCAAAAGAGTAAGTGCACCTCAGAATGTTGAATTTCGGGAAGACGTGACCAACCTACAGCAAAGCCGTATGTATGTGTTGTAATGACCAATGTGTGTCACGTCTACTAGAGAGCCTACCACTGTCCTGAAGGTTTGGCTAATGGAAGACCGTCTGGTATCAATTACTTAACCCCTCGCCCTCCAGAGGATTTCCCCCCCCTTTCTGACCAGGCTATTTTTTGCTTTACGGCGCTGCGTTACTTTAACTGACAATTGCACGGTCATGCAACGCTGCACCCAAATGAAATTGACGTGCTTTTTTTCCCCACTATTAGAGCTTTCTTTCGGTGGTATTTGATTGCCTGTGTGCTTTTGTTGTTTTTTTTTTGTGCTATAAACAAAAAAAGACAATTTTGAGAAAAAAGCGTATTTTTGACTTTTTGCTATTAAATACGTCCAGTAAAAATAATCAAATTTTGTCATAAATTTACGCCAAAATGTATTCTGCTCCATGTCTTTGCTAAAAAAAAAAGTAATTCGTTTACGTGAAAGTTATAGTGTTTACAAATGGTGGCATATATACTGCAATCTTTTTTTTCTATTTTTACTAGTAATGGCAGCATTCAGCGACGTATACCTGGACTGCGGCGAGCATTCTGACACTGGGGGGAACTGACGTGGTGTCACTGACATCCCCAGTAACACCAATACAGTGGTCAGTGCTAAAAAAAAAAACAACCACTGACCCTGTACTAATGGCACTGGGCAAGAAGGGGTTAACATAAGTGGCGATCAAAGGGTTAACTGTGTGCTGGGAGTGTTTTACTAGGAGGCTGTGTCTGTGTGCTTCACTGTAAGCACACTGCTTTGGATGGCTGAGCTGTGCACAGCCATCCAAAGCAGTGTGCCCAAGCTGACAGGGAGGAGAACAGTTAGTAAACAAAACAGTTTTCCCCGTCGGAGATGTTCAGCAATCACCGGGCGCTGGCGAGTAATCACCGGCCGGGACCCAGTGATTGACAGTCGCAAACGGCAGCGCGGGTAGGGCGCGCGCATCCTACCCAATACTGCATAATCATGTATATACACATGGTTTTGCGCACCCGTGCCGTCCTGTAGCAGTATATCAGCTATAGGGCGGTCAGGAAGCGGTTTTAAAGTATACTCCCCATATAGAAGACAAATAAAATGAAGCTGTGTATAAAAGTAGGTTATACTAGGCAATCTCACATACAGCTAGCAGCATAACAATCCTCTGCACCGCACCCGGCGGACTCTCGGAATCAAAGTGCATTTCCTAGGTTTTAGAAAGTTAGTTCTTAGGCACACCTGAGGCATTCCACAATTATGGAGACCAACAAGAGGCACCTACGTGGTATTATGAAGTGGTAGAGGTAATATTTAATTGAAGAATTTGGGGGGCTCCCGAGAAATTGTATGCCACTAGGGGTATATTCTGGTGGTGCCTGCTTTGATACACACAGCCTTTTGTTACTGGTACTCCTGTATGACTAACTTACTTATCCACTTCCCATCCGCCGTATAGCAGAAATACTGCTACAGGGCGGCAGGGCTGCGCAAAATCACGTATATATACGTGATTTTGTATTTCCGTGTAGGGGGCGCGAGCGCCTCCCCAACCCATGCAGCCACTGGTGGCTACAGCTGTTGATCGCCGAGGAACACTGATAGGGGAGAGGTCTGTATGTAAACAATACAGATCTCTCCCCTGTCAGCTCCTGCACACTGCTTTGTATTGCTCTGCATAGCAGAACACTACAAAGTAGCGTGCTTATATAGTAAAGCGCACACATAGTAAAATACTCCCAGCATGCAGTTAACCCTTTGATCACCCCAGATGTTAACCCCTTCCTGCCCAGTGTCATTAGTACAGGGTCAGTGCTTTTTATTAGCACTGATCAATGTATTGGTGTCACTGGGGATATCAGTGACACCAAGTCAGTTCCCCTTCCAGTGTCAGAATGCCCGCCGCAGTCCCGCTATAAGTCGCTGATTGCCACCATTACTAGTATAGAAAAAAAATTTCCAGTATCTATACCACCATTTGTAAACGCTATAACTTTCACGTAAACCAATTAATTTACACGTATTGGGATTTTTATTTTAGTAAAGACATGGAAGAATACATTTTAGCCTAAATTTATGGAAAAATCAGATTTTTTTTTTTTTTACTGGACATGTTTAATAGCAAAAAGTAAAAAATACTGTTTTTTTTTCCTCAAAATTGTCGTCTTTTTTGTTTATAGCACAAAAAATAAAAACCGCACAGGCGATCAAATACCACTGAAAGAAAGCTCTATTTGTGAGAAATAAAAGGACGTAAATTTAATTTGGGTGCAGTGTTGCATGACCATGCAGTGTCAGTTAAATTAATGCAGAGCTGTATCTCAAAAGAATGGCCTGGTCAGGAAGGGGGGGGTAAATCCTCAGGAGGGGGTGAACTAAGTGTTGAACTCCATCCAGTGAGATTTATTTTTCCTTTAGTTCCCAACAGCTGCTGGGTAGGTAAGCCACCCTTTAGACATTTCTTGTATCCATCAAACTCTGCTGGTGTCGTATTTGCTCTTGGTTTATCAAGTCTGCTTGTTTGATGAAACCATTATGAATTTTTTGTTTTATTTTATATAATAGAGAGCGCCCCAGAATTGGCACAGTAGGGATGGTCACACCTCCAAGGTGGTCAAGGAAAGCTCACTGCTGAAGTTCCCAAGAGCTTTAAGTAGCAAGCTTTGTGCCGTTTTGGCCGTTTCAGGAGGCTTAAGTAGCAAATCAGTGTTGGTTGGACTGACCCTTTAACAGAAATGGCATCTGATTGGGTGCTGTGGGTTATGTACATGACTCTTTCTGCTACCTATAGGTGTGCTGTTACACCAAAACAGGCTGTCCTGCCAAGTTGGCCGCTGAAGCTTAATTAACATTAAGCTTCAGCGGCCAACTTGGCAGGACAGCCTGTTTTGAAAAAAGAGAAAAGTCCATCCAGTTCAACCATAGAAAAAAAAAAAAAGTTACAATCCTATACCCACAGTTGATCCAGAGGAAGGCAAAAAAAACCCCCAGCAAAGCACGATCCAATTTGCTCCTGCAAGGGAATAAATTCCTTCCTGATCCCCCGAGAGGCAATCGGATATTTCCTGGATCAACTTTACCTATAAATGTTATATCCAGTTATATTCTGTGTATCTAAGAAAGAATCCAGGACTTTTTTGAAGCAATCCACTGAACTGGCCACAACCAACTCTTGAGGGAGTCTATTCCACATTTCACAGCTCTTACTGTGAAGAAACCTTTCTGTGTTTGGAGATTACATTTCTTTTCCTCCAGACATAAAGAGTGCCCCCTTGTCCTCTGTGATGACCTCAGAGTGAATAACTCTACACCAAGTTCACTATATGAACCACTGATGTATATATACATGGAGATCATATCCCCCCTTATGTATTATACATGGAGATCATATCCCCCCTTATGTATTATACATGGAGATCATATCCCCCCTTATGTATTATACATGGAGATCATATCCCCCTTATGTATTATACATGGAGATCATATCCCCCCTTATGTATTATACATGGAGATCATATCCCCCCTTATGTATTATACATGGAGATCATATCCCCCCTTATGTATTATACATGTTGATCATATCCCCCCTTATGTATTATACATGGTGATCATATCCCCCCTTATGTATTATACATGTTGATCATATCCCCCCTTATGTATTATACATGGTGATCATATCCCCCCCCTTATGTATTATACACGGAGATCATACCCCCCCTTATGTATTATACATGGAGATCATATCCCCCCTTATGTATTATACATGTTGATCATATCCCCCCTTATGTATTATACATGGTGATCATATCCCCCCCTTATGTATTATACACGGAGATCATATCCCCCCTTATGTATTATACACGGAGATCATATCCCCCTTATGTATTATACATGGAGATCATATCCCCCCTTATGTATTATACATGGAGATCATATCCCCCTTATGTATTATACATGGTGATCATATCCCCCCTTATGTATTATACATGGAGATCATATCCCCCCTTATGTATTATACATGGAGATCATATCCCCCCTTATGTATTATACATGGAGATCATATCCCCCCTTATGTATTATACATGGAGATCATATATCCCCCCCTTATGTATTATACATGGAGATCATATCCCCCCTTATGTATTATACATGGAGATCATATCCCCCCAGATCCTTCTCCACCATTGATCCCCCAGTTGTACCCCCCTAGTATGTATGATGCATGCATATTCTTAACCCCCAAGAGCATTACCTTACATTTATCAACATTAAACCTCATTTGCCACATAGTTGCCCAATTACACAGAGCATTGAGGTCGGCTTGTAAATTGGAGACATCCTGTAAGGACGTTATTCCACTGCACAGCTTGGTGTCATCTGCAAAGACTGAAATGAGATTTTTAATCCCAGACCCTATATCGTTTATAAAAATATTAAAAAGTAAGGGTCCCAACACTGAACCTTGGGGTACACCACTGACACCCCTAGACCATTCAGAGTATGAATCATTAACCACTACTCTCTGAATATGATCTTTTAGCCAGTTTTCTATCCATTTACATACAGATTTTTCCAAGCCCATAGACTTTACCTTACACATTAGCCGTGTGTGGGGAACGGTGTCAAACGCTTTTGCAAAGTCCAAGTATACCACGTCCACCGCCACCCCTCTGTCCAAGTATACCACGTCCACCGCCACCCCTCTGTCCAAGTATACCACGTCCACCGCCACCCCACTGCCCAAGTATACCACGTCCAATCCGCTTCCCCTCTGTCCAAGTATACCACGTCCACCGCCTCATCTCTGTCCAAGTATACCACGTCCACCACCACCCCTCTGTCCGAGTATACCACGTCCACCGCCACCCCTCTGTCCGAGTATACCACGTCCACCGCCTCCCCTCTGTCCAAGTATACCACGTCCACCGCCACCCCTCTTTCCAAGTATACCACGTCCACCTCCACCCCTCTGTCCAAGTATACCACGTCCACCGCCACCCCTCTGTCCAAGTATACCACGTCCACCGCCACCCCTCTGTCCAAGTATACCACGTTCACCGCCACCCCTCTGTCCAAGTATACCACGTTCACCGCCACCCCTCTGTCCAAGTATACCACGTCCACCGCCACCCCTCTGTCCAAGTATACCACGTCCACCGCCACCCCTCTGTCCAAGGTTTTGCTCACCTCCTCATAAAAAGAATCAGATTTGTTTGACAACTTCTGTCTTTCATGAATCCATGCTGTCTGTTGTTTAAAATATTTTTTTCCAGCAGGAACTCATCTATGTGGTCTTTTTATTGAACTCTCCAGTATCTTCCCAACTATAGAAGTTAAACTAACAGGTCTATAATTACTTGGTAAACATTTTGACCCCTTTTTATCGTTTATTGTTTTAATGTCTTTATCTATGAACACGTCAGCTTATTATTATTACTATACATGATTTATATAGGGCTAACCCTTTGAGGACAGACGGTACAGTTACAATACAATTCAATACAGGAGGAATCAGGGGGCCTTTAGAGCTTACAGTCTCAGAGCTTAAATGTGTTTTAATGGTGTAACCTACCTTGTCTTTGCAGCTACAGAAGTGGGACAGCCACGGGTTTCATTCCAGACGCGGGCTGCCGATGCAGTAGGAGTTTGGCCTCAGTGGCAGAGTCAGCACCATGGGCCAAACACCGCAGACGCACATGTCCAGGCACAAGCCAGCCAATCAGAAGTTTTCCCTGTAAGTTCTACCTTATTTACTTTCCCTTATACAGTGGCTTGAAAAAGTCTTCATACCCCTTGAAAGTTTCCACGTTTTGTCATGTTACAATCAAAGACATACATTTATTTATTTATTTATTTTTTTATTTGATGTGATAGACCAACACAAAGTGGCACATAATTGTGACGTGGAAGGAAAATGAGAAATGGTTTTTAAAATGTTTTACATATCTGTGAAAAGTGTGGCGGCATTTGTATTCAGCCCCCCGGAGTCAATACTTTGTAGGACCCCCTTTGGCTGCAATTCCAGCTGCAAGTCTTTTTGGGGAAGTCTCTACCAGCTTTGCACATCTAGAGAGGGACATTTCTGCCTATTCTTCTTTGCAGAATCGCTCAAGCTCTGTCAGATTGGATGGAGAGTGTCTGGGAACAGCAATTCTCAAGTCTTGCCACAGATTCTCCATTGGATTTTGGTCTGGACTGTGACTGGGCCATTCTAACACATGAAGATGTTTTTATCTGAACCATTCCATTGTAGCTCTGGCTGGATGTTTTGGGTCGTTGTCCTGCTGGAAGGGGAACCTCTGCCCCGGTCTCACGTCTTTTACAGACTCTTACAGGTTTTCTTCTAAGATTGCCCTGTATTTGGCTCCATCCATCTTCCCATCAACTCTGACCAGCTTCCCTGTCCCTGCTGAAGAAAAGCATCCCCACCACATGATGCTGCCACCACCATGTTTCACAATGGGGATGATGTGTTCAGGGTGATGTGCAGTGTTAGTTTTCCATCACACATAGAGTTTTGTTTTTAGGCCAAAAAGTTAAATTTTGGTCTCATCTGACCAGAACACCTTCTTCCATGTTTGCTGCTGTGTCCCCCACATGGCTTCTCACAAACTGCAAACAGGACTTCTTGTGGCTCTTTCAACAATGGCTTTCTTCTTGCCAATCTTCCATAAAGGCCAGATTTGTGGAGTGCACACGACTAATAGTTGTCCTGTGGACAGATTCTCCCACCTGAGCTGTGGATCTCTGCAGCTCCTCCAGAGTTCTCATGGGCCTCTTGGCTGCTTCTCTGATTAATGCTCTCCTTGCCCGGCCTGTCAGTTTAGGTGGATAGCCATGTCTTGGTAGGTTTGCAGTTGCGCCATACTCTTTACATTTTCAGATGATGGATTGAACAGTGCTCCGTGAGATGTTCAAAGCTTGGGATATTTTTTTTATAACCTAACCCTGCTTTACACTTCTCCACAACTTTATCCCTTGCCCGTCTCCTGTGTTTCTTGGCCTTCATGATTCTGTTTGTTCACTAATGTTCTCTAACAAACCTCTGAAGGCTTCACAGAACAGCTGTATTTATACTGAGATCACATGACACACAGGTGGACTCTATTTACTAAATGAGGTGACTTCTGAAGACAATTGGTTCCACTAGATTTTAGTTAGGGGTATCAGAGTAAAGGGGCTGAATACAAATGCACGCCAAACTCTTGTAAAAAAATTTCAAAAACCATTTATCATTTTGCTTCCACTTCACAATTATGTGCCATTTTGTGTTGGTCTATCACATAAAATCCCAAAAAGATACATTTACGTTTTTGGTTGGAACATGACAAACTAAACAATTTCAAGGGGTATGAAGACTTTTTCAAGGCACTGTACAGCTTATGAGACCCAAATGCTGGTCAGTGATTTCCAGATACCCTAGAACTGGGTTTCTCAACCAAGGTTCTTCCAGAGGTTGCTAGGGGTTCCTTCAGAAATGAGCAATTTCTGCCTCTCAGATAAGTTCCCACTGACACCACTGAAAAGGGTAAAAGGATCATTCTTCCTTCTGACCATCAAGCGTTGCAGATGTAGTAATTTTTGGCAGGGGTTCCCTGAGACCAGAAAGTTATTTCTAGGGTTCCTCTGCGTTGAGAAAGGCTGCTATAGAGGAAGTCTTGTCGATTTTTACAAGGTTGGGTTTCTCTTTCCTTCCTAGGACATGCTGTCCATGCTTGGAGACCAGACCTCAAGCTACAACAGCGAAGAGTTTTCCGAGCTCAACATGTTCCAGTCTTTTGCGGAGTAGAAAATGGTGTTTCTAGCACACTGTATGAAACCCAGATGCCTATAAACTGAGCACCCTCCTCTCTTCATGAAGGCTACTCAATTCTCAACCTTTGCTAGTGTAAAGGAACTGACCGTACCATTTGTGGTGAGAAGAGTGGGGGAAAAAAAAAAAAAACCACAAAAGACCTCAAATCCAGAGCTTGGGAGGAAGACGCACAAGACATCACGAAATTGCCTTCCTTGTGAATCTCAGGAGATGTCAACACGAAGCTCTCCAGCCCTCACCAGCTTTAAATCTCACGTGTTGTGCCACCAAATTTATGTTCTGCGAAACCTTCCTCCCAGGAACACGAAGCACACCTCAATACTTGTCCTCCAGAACACATTTCATTTTTCTAACACGACCCTAAAATCGATCATTTTAGGCTCAATCAGGGATACGATTTGCATAGGATAATCACAATTGTAGTAGGTGCCTTTTTTTTTTTTTTTTTTTTTTTTTAAATGTCAGGACAGGAAACTATTGTTCGCTAGAGAAGACCCCTATAAATATCTTCTACCTGAGGCATTCTCCCTACCCGCGGTGGGCTGAAATGACTATATACGGAGGTGAGACATGAAATGTCCGCCATATTCTGCTTATTCGTTTATTAATTTAACGCTTCGGCTTACCAGCGGATTTATCGTCTCGCTCCTCAGCGGAAAAAAGGTCTGGAAATAATGGACTCTAACATTTCCTGGGCCTGCAGAAAGATGCCAAAAATCCTGATGAAGATGCAGGTTAAAACATCTTATTTCACATTATTTCATAGAAATACAAAATGGGTTGCTGTGAAGTTTTTCAGTTACGACTTCCAAATCTGTTGGGAATTTGCCAGCCACCGTCGCGGCGTACTACCGGAACTGTCTTTTCCAGTCTGGTTTTAGAAACCTTGAAGCCCGACTGAAGTTTCACACCTTTTTATCCCTCTATAGTCCTGAACCCTTGCATGTTATCATTTGTGATGTTTACTAGGAAATGCCATATCATGTTTACTAGGAAATGCCTAACAATACCTTCTCTCTTAGTGAAAGCGATTTTTTTTTTCCCACCCTCACACTGCAGTGCTCTGTGCTGGAAGAGCTGAATATTGGCCACACCCCTCATCGTTGCAGGAAAAGGGAGGGGGGCATTAAACCTGATCATTTACATGACAGTCAACTAATGGGGTGCATATTTAGGCTACGTGAACATGGGCGTACCAAAGCAGCAAGGTTTTAGTGGTGCAAATGTTGTATTATCCCCTCCACCGCATTCAGAAAAGCAGTAATGCCACTGAATACAAAATTATTCACGTGAATGGTGGATTAGTTAGGCTTAGTTTGCGGTTGGGAGGGTGGTGGTAAAAGTAGGCTGTTGAGCCCCTTTCTTACCACCCTCTCCTTAATCTGCAAAGGAAACTAGATCAGGGAGCAAAAAGTATCCCCTCCACTGCATTCAGAAAGGCAGTAATGCCACTGAATACAAAATATTCACGTGAATGGTGTTTTAGTGGTTGGGAGGGTGGTGGTAAAAGTAGGCTGTTGAGCCCCTTTCTTACCACCCTCTCCTTAATCTGCAAAGGAAACTAGACCAGGGTGCAAAAATGATCCCCTCCACCGCATTCAGAAGGCAGTACAGCCACTGAATACAAAATATTCACATGAATGGTGTATTAGTTTGGCTTAATTTGTGTTTGGGAGGGTGATGGTAAAGGTAGGCTGTTGAGCCCCTTTCTTACCACCCCTCCTTAATCTGCAAAGGAAACTAGACCATGGAGCAAAAATTATCCCCTCCACTGCATTCAGAAAGGCATTTATGCCACTGAATACAAAATATTCACGTGAATGGTGTATTAGGCTTAATTTGCGGTTGGGAGGGCGGTGGTAAAGGTAGGTTGTTGAGCCCCTTTCTTACCACCCTCTCCTTAATCTGCAAAGGAAACTAGACCAGGGTGCAAAAATTATCCCCTCCACCGCATTCAGCAGGCAGTACTGCCACTGAATACAAAATATTCACATGAATGATGCTTTTCCACAAATGCAAGCCAAATGCTAGGCTTGAGGTCGCAACATGTTATTACCATTCTAACAGCCCACTCAGCTGTCATAAAAAAAAAAGGCATAATTAGGCAGCAGCATTGCCTGTTGAATGCCTGAGAGCCACACCTGTACCACTCTGAAAAGCATTCCACTACAGATCACTCTTCACAGAGCAACCCGGGTATAAACATAACCTACAGCATTAATGCAGCCTGTCGGTTGCTAGTGCACAGGCGGTTATTGCCATCTAGCGCCCTTTGTTGCTAGGACACAGGTAGCTATTCCTGGCCACTGTCTTTTGTTTCTAGGATGCAGGCGGCAGTTGCTGCCTTGTATCCATTGCTAGGATGTGGGTGGCTCTTGTACCCCAGGAAAAGTGGAGGTAAGACCAGGAAAAGTGGAGGCAAGACCAGGAAAAGTGGAGGCAAGACCAGGAAAAGTGGAGGTTGTTAGTACATAGCCTGTGTGTGTGTGTCTGCATGTCTGTTTCTGTGAATTCAGCCGGGCTTTAGGACGGCCACCTTTGTATTTATAGACACATGAAAATGTCCACTGTTTTTAAGCACTTCTCGGAATCCGTCACCTCTCCACAGTGTTAGTTCAGTAAGGGTTTTATGAAATTAATTTTTTTTTTTTTTTACTTGGACACCGACACAAGCGGAGATTAAAATTCTGTTGGAAAATCGGAAAACCACGGACCGTTGTGTGCCGCGAATCCAGGCGTAGTTGTCATCACACAAGGACAGTTGTATTTTTGATTTGATAAATCGAATTTTAGACTCGTTCTCTATCAGAACTCTTCACAGGCCCATAGCCGATTGTCATTTGACGTCATCAGGGAGACCTATAGCCCCTGGCCGGCGTCCGCTTCACTTTTTATTATCGGTGACGTATAACCTGTTTTGATGTAGACAAGATAGACCCGGATTATCCATCTTGTATTACGTTACACACTTTTAAGCAGGATAAGCACATTTATTCTTGGCTTTCCTTTGTGCGTTTCTTTGAAACTTTCCTTCTGTGTAAAGTGTTTTATGTGTATACTATATGAAATAATATAATTTTATGAGAATTTTTATTGGTTCCTGAAAGTTATTCTTGTTTTCCTTTTGCATTGCATTGAATTTTTGCAAGTATAAGATCACGGCACATGTAGCAGAACATTGTATTGAATGCTTACTGTTATATTCCTTTCCTGGTGCCAAACCATAGCGGCATACTTGTGGTAGCATCCCCCACCTACTTCCACATATGTACCGCCATGTTGGCACCAGGAAAACTGAAGGTGGTATCAAATACTGTAATATTCCTTTCCTGGTGCCAAACCAGGGCGGCATACTTGTGGTAGCATCCCCCACATACTTCCACATATGTACCGCCATGTTGGCACCAGGAAAACCGAAGGTGGTATCAAATACTGTAATATTCCTTTCCTGGTGCCAAACCATGGCGGCATACTTGTGGTAGCATCCCCATCTACTTCCACATATGTACCGCCATGTTGGCACCAGGAAATCAGAAGGTTGTATCAAACACTTACTGTCATTTTCCTCTCCTGGCGCCAAACCATGGCGGCATACTTGTGGTAGCATCCCCCACCTACTTCCACATATGTACCGCCATGTTGGCACCAGGAAAACTGAAGGTGGTATCAAATACTGTAATATTCCTTTCCTGGTGCCAAACCAGGGCGGCATACTTGTGGTAGCATCCCCCACCTACTTCCACATATGTACCGCCATGTTGGCACCAGGAAAACAGAAGGTGGTATCAAATGCTTACTGTAATATTCCTTTCCTGGTGCCAAACCAGGGCGGCATACTTGTGGTAGCATCCCCCACCTACTTCCACATATGTACCGCCATGTTGGCACCAGGAAAACCGAAGGTGGTATCAAATACTGTCATTTTCCTTTCCTGTTGCCAAACCATGGCGGCATACTTGTGGTAGCATCCCCCACCTACTTCCACATATGTACCGCCATGTTGGCACCAGGAAAACAGAAGGTTGTATCAAACACTTAATGTCATTTTCCTCTCCTGGCACCAAACCAGGGCGGCATACTTGTGGTAGCATCCCCCATCTTCTTCCACATATGTACCGCCATGTTGGCACCAGGAAAACAGAAGGTTGTATTGAATACTGTCATTTTCCTTTCCTGTTGCCAAACCATGGCGGCATACTTGTGGTAGCATCCCCCACCTACTTCCACATATGTACCGCCATGTTGGCACCAGGAAAACAGAAGGTGGTATCAATTGCTTACTGTAATATTCCTTTTCTGGTGCCAAACCATGGCGGCATACTTGTGGTAGCATCCCCCACATACTTCCACATATGTACCGCCATGTTGGCACCAGGAAATCAGAAGGTGGTATCAAATACTTACTGTAATATTCCTTGTGGAAGTAGGTGGGGATACTACCACATGTATGCTACCATGTTGGCACCAAGAAAGTTGAATACAGGAATGTTCTGAATGGACAAAGCTCCAACACATTGCTATTGGCCTGTCACTATGATGGGGTTCTTCACTACCCAGTAGGGATGTGTGTGTGAGGATGGGCAAGGTCTGTTATTACAGGCCTGAGTTTTGCCTTGGCATTCAGATGTGGAGGAGACAATCAAAGCTGCTGCAGATATGGTCACCTGGTGCCACGCATGGGCCTATAGCAATGTTTCCCAAACATACCCTGAAACACCGCCAATGGGTTTTTTTTTTTCCTTAAAGCTGAACTCCACGTACGATCTTTATTGCATGTTTACATTCGTCCAGCTTGTACCAATGTAAGTAAGCATATCTCATACCTGGGGAAGGGGGAGCACTGAGGAAGCCGACAATCACTGTAGTAGTCAGTGCTACTACTATGATAGCCATGATCTTCCAGTTCCTCTGCTGTGCGGCTTCCCCACTGTACAATGACCACAGGAGATTGCTTGCTCAGCGCTGCCACTGTT